TCGCGTCATAGCAAACAGTGCAAATAGTAACAAGCTGGTTGCGAGATAAACATGGCTACAGTTAGTAGCGCTTGCTTCCACAGCTGATGGTCCATCGATGTGAGGTACGTCCTCTTTAGGGCATCGGCAAGTCCAACTTTTGGTATTCCAGAGAGCTGACATGGCGCTTAGAGTGCTGGACTTTACTGATGTACATAGAGACTACTCCGGCCGACATAACGTATCCTTGGTTTTCCAGCAAAGGTGTCTCGACAAATGTGCGTGGTTCCGCAAAGTAAGGCCTGGATTGCTTTCTACCACTACATTCAGACACTCCAATCAGTACAACACTTCGCAGCTGCAGATTCGAGAGACCGTGCTATTAGTTCATGCAGTACCTGATGATGGACCCTAGTCATCGCTTTAGACAACCACTATCTCCATTTACTTTAGCACACAGTGTCATGGGCTATAAATTGAAATCTAACTGACTCGCTCGCCAAGGCTCTCGACGTATCGGATTTTTTTAAAGGTTGACGGCTTCACGACAGTTACAATACTACTGCAGGTTACCGATAACACAAATGCACATGGGCACCTGGGCAACAGTCATCTAAGATCTGTGACTGTGCGTACGAGGGCTGCCGTTACGACGCTTTCAAAGCCCAGGTTGTCTCAGGGGTTCATATCTTCCTGTCGTGCACAGAGTCGCGTGCTCCAGTCCTTGGAGGAGAACCATTGGCGTGCGGGCTCCGATGCGGCTGCATTTCCCAAGCCAGCAAGCAAGTTATCAAGCTTTCCCCACATCCGCGGGTGATCCACTTGGCTGCATTTGCATGACTTGAAGACTGGCATCGATCCAGCGACTTCTTGAATGCTATACAACGGAGAGCGGACTTGTTAGTACGCAGATCACTATTGGTGTGTCGGACTTGCCAGACAAGCAGTTTGCTGTTCTGACCAAGCTGCCCCCATTCATAATTTTCCAGGGGTGGAGTAAAGGAAGACGGTTCGGGAGTCCACAGCCCTGGCACTAACGTTCCGTTAGCGAGTGACCAGGGATGCACGATCTGCAGAAAAAATGTTGCAACATCCGATACCCAACTGCGGTAGAAAGGCATACCACCAGCGGCTCAGAGCGAGGAAGCCACGGCGTCGGAGTGCACTTCGCGGACCCGCACTCGGCTCCGCGTGCGGCAAGTATCGTGATTTGGCTAATGTCCACACCTAGCTATAATGACACAAGTGACACCGCCTGCTCTGCTGCACGAGGCTATGAAACAATACCCGTAAGACCCGTAAGACCAGCGCCCTTGATAATCCCGTATCACGTAACGCCGCTGCGCTTTGACGATGGGAATAAATGTCTCCATGCCTGACCTCGTGACAAGCATAGCGACGGAGTCGTTCGTTGTATGTTGGTCTTCTTTCTCAAAGAAAGATTCGCTGTAAATGTGGAAGACACATAGATTTTCCAGTTCAGAACCAACTGTTGTAGAAGCTGATGGTATCGTTCAGTCTTGAGGGGGTTCCTTCGACGCCCAACAAACGGGTTTAAGAGCGGTTCCGAATGCTCCCGATGATATGCACGTCCCATCCGTTATCCCTGTCTATCCGGCAGCTGTGGCGCACCATCAGCACCGGTATGCTCAAGGCTTCGAGCAAATTCTGTGCGAACCATTTATGGTCCCAGTGGGCAAGCCTGCGTGTCCTCGAAGAGCTTCATATTATCAGACGGTTGCGCGATGAAGCTGGAAAATGTCAATGCGGCTACGGGAACCACCCCAGGGCTGCGGCCGCGTCAGGAAGACCATGTCGCCTGGTCCAACCTGGTCCATGCATCCGGTACAGAAATACTTTGACGGCGAGAACGGCTCTCCTCAAAAAAATGACTCTTGCGGAAACCTTGTCCCTTCCGATAGGCTGCCCGTTATGTACACCTAATCCTCCGCCTCTTAGGCGGTGTCCATCCCCAATTCCTTTCAATTGCCGACGGGTGGTTTCAGCGCGATTCAATGCAGCGATTCAGACCGCTTATAAAAGTTGCGCTCCCCTCACACGGCCGTTACTCTTCCCTCCGAACCTCCAAACCCATTCGTCATATGGCCTCAGTAGCTAAAGACACCATGCCTTCAACAACCCGCCCCAGTTTTCCCCGCCAATTGAGCACCACGTCTGGCGACTACGACCTGTCATATTCCCCAGATATGCGCAGGTCCCTGGGCACCTATGGTCTCACACCGCCAACAGTCGAGAGCTACGAGGTGCAGACCCAGCGATGTAAGCAAATGCTCTTGACCATGTATCATGGTGTTCTGACGTCCTGCAGGCCTACGGCTCCTGGCTATGAAGACAGCTCCAATTGAGAAGTTCCAATACCTTGTCCACCTCAAGGCCACGAATGTACACCTTTTCTACCGGTTGCTGTCAGAGAACATCAAGGTGCGTAGTGATACTCAATCCCTGAAGGAACATGCAGCTGACGTGCGCTTAGGAACTCACCCCTCTCATTTACACCCCAACCGTCGGTGAAGCCTGCGTACGATGGCACGAGATCTGGACACAACCCGAGGGCATGTATCTCTCCTGGAGCGACCGAGGCAATCTTCGCAAGATCCTCGACAATTGGCCTCACAGCGTCGACATCACCGTCGTTACAGATGGTTCTCGCATTTTGGGTCTCGGAGATCTTGGTGTAAATGGCATGGGTATTCCGGTTGGCAAGCTGTCCCTATACACCGCCTGCGCTGGCATCAAACCAGACGGCACACTGCCTCTCTGTCTCGACTTGGGAACCAGTAACAAGGCTCTACGCGAGGATCCTCTGTACATGGGCTCCAGGATGCCCAAGGTCTCTGCTGAGGAGGAGAAGGAGTTCCTGGACGAGCTCATGGCTGCCCTCACGGACAAGTGGCCAAGGTATGTTATACGCACCCCCATACCCTTTCCGAAACTGATCGCGTGACAGCATCGTCATCCAGTTTGAGGACTTTAAAAACCCCTTCCCTGCAATAGAACGCTACCAGAACCAGTACACCATGTTCAACGACGATGTCCAGGGAACTGGAGCTGTCATTGTCGGTGGTTTCATAAATGCCATCAAGGCGTCTGGCGTTCCTGTCAAGGACCACAAGGCCATTTTCCTGGGCGCTGGCAGTGCTGGTACTGGTGTTGCCATGCAGATCGTCGAATACTTCAAGAAGGAGGGTTTGACAGAAGAGGAAGCCCGCCGCAAGTTTTACTTCGTCGACTCGAACGGTCTCGTCACCCAGGACCGCGGCGACAAGCTGGCGGAGCACAAGGTTTACTTCGCTCGAGACGACAACAATGGTCGTCAGTACCAGTCTCTCTCCCGCCTCATCGACTACGTACAGCCCACGATCCTGATGGGTCTCTCAACAATTGGCGGCGCATTCAACAAAGACATTCTCCAGAAGATGGCCAAGCTGAACGATAGGCCCATTGTCTTCCCTCTCTCTAACCCTTCAAGCAAGTCTGAGTGTACATTTGAAGAGGCCGTCATCCACACCGAGGGTCGCTGCCTGTTCGCTTCCGGTTCTCCATTCCCATCAATGGAGTGGGACGGCAAGCTTCTCACCCCTGGTCAAGGTAAGCTCGTACTTCTAATACCCGAGCACAATACCCCACTAACGGCTCAACAGGAAATAACATGTATGTGTTCCCCGGTATCGGACTTGGTGCGATTCTCTCAAAGGCCGTGTCCATCACCCAGGACATGATTTATGCTTCTGCCGAGTCACTCTCAACCTCGCTCAACAAGCAAGAGGTCGCTGATGGCTGGCTGTACCCTGACATCCGCCGCATTCGCGAAGTCTCTGTCGTCGTAACCCGCGGTGTCATCCGCGCCTCGCAGAAGAACGGTGTTGACCGCGCAACCGAACTGCGGGATCTCACCGACGAGCAGCTCGACGCGCATATCAAGAAGAATATGTACGACCCTTACACTGCGAGCGAGTACTTTGGCGGCGACAGGGTTTCCCAACTAGTTCCCTCTGATTTAAATAGCCACACCAACGGTGTCAATGGCCTTATGAAGGGTGTTGCCCAGTTGTAATGGTTCAGTTCTTAGACCTGTTCATGGCGCTAGGAGTTCAAACATTCGATACCCTACTACAATTTGTTCCTTCACACGGCACACTTGTATGCCTCTCGAGTAAGCGCGGCAGCTAGCATTGTGTTACGCAATTTGCTAGGAGTAATGATGTAATTTCATATAATTTGAGCATTGATTTTGCTCTTGTGTTTTCCGTGTACAGGAAGCTCGCCTTCTGCCTGGGAATAATAGAAATGACTGCCCAACGATACGTACCCATACATAGGTGAGCCTCACTTACCTTGACTGCTATCACTACAACCACAACATAGCGAAAGACAGCTCTTGAGAGCTTCCCCTGCAGCTACTACACCTCCTCAGGTGTTGAAAGTTGGATCTCCAATATGCATCGCTAGAACCATCAAGTTTGATCTGAAACATACGCACGGGCAAAAGATGCATGTGTTGCGCAAAAATATGTACTCGCGGGGTTACCCGACTATAATGCTTCATCTTAGTAGTCAGAAGTATCTCAGTGATAAAACAAATAATGTTTGGCTTCGCAAAGCACAGCGTGCTGGACCTCTATAAATTCCCGACCTCTTTCCTGCGCCTTGTAAATGTATAAGCCTGGCTGGCACAAACGGTGAACGTCGGAAGCCTGTAATCGCGTACTGACTAAGGCAATGGTGCATACATCACTAAGCTTGCGGTTTGGTAGTGATGACATATTATTGATTTGCGTAGGCTGGCAAACGGTAATATGAGCATGAATATGCCGAAGGGGTTAGATTGAGTCAGTGGGGTAAAATGGAGTCGCCCCACACACGACACTGATTTTTTCCAGTACGCCCACATGTTACTGTCCATCTATCGATTCTTTAATCAGCTAAATTTTGCAACTATCGAAAATATTATTGTCAATAATTATATTCAGTTCCGAAATTCTTCCATCAAATCAGTAAAGGGGCTTGTGGTTTAGTGGTATAATACTCCCTTAGCACTTCTAGCACATCTAGGACAGCTTGGGAGTGGTCCAGGGTTCGATTCCCTGCAAGTCCATTCTTTTTGAACATTTAAATCTATTTTTGTTGTTCTGGTTGCGTTTGTCGTGATATTTTTGCCCCCTGAGTGCGTGGTGGTATATTTTTCCCCCACCACACCTCAACTTTAGCTGGAACTCTTTGATTTTGCTCCCATCTAGTCTACGGAATGTAAACTGTCTTTTGAGATTAAACAAGGCCACCTGCCGCTCTTCTAGTTCGTGGGAGCGCAATATTGCTCGTACTGCGCATGTCTGTAAGTCTGAAACTTGGTCAGGTATGGACAGAGCGATTCACAGCGAGGCTGTATGAGAAGCCGTGTAAGCTCGTTATAGATTCAGTTAAGGCCTTGGAATCATATACCACCTCGCGCCCTCTTCTCATGATGCTTACGAAGAAATGCGTTGCACCACCAGTAAGCCATGGATAAACACTTGATTTCTAGTAGCGAAGCACATTATTATACATATGCATGTTGGTTGTTCTCTATTGCTGACGCTGAAAGTGTAGCTAACTTTACTGCATAGCCTGTCTCTTTCCCCTGCGAAGCCACAAAACCAAGCATTCTCACAACATTGCTACTTTAACCCACCTTTTTTGGGGTGGAGGGGGGGGATATGCTTAAGTAGCCTCTACAGAATCGTGCAGAGCTTAGTAGCCCAGAAAGCAGTGTTGCCAGCTCGAGCGATACCCAAGAGGGAGTGGAAAGAACCGTAACCGACAATAACAACGACAAATATCGAACCCCCAGCCCTTCACCTAAACACAGCTCGATCTCACTTCCTCTGCAGCGAAGTAGAAGCGCAGCACCGCTCCGAAAACGAAAACTCATCAAGCCCCAACGTCGCCTCATCCTCCTCATCCCCAACAGGGCCAGCAACTAGTTCCCTATTCCCCTCCCATCAGCACTCATCCAACCTACACCCGTATCTCGGCGTTCTCCCTTGAAACTTACAGCGGCAGCTTGTACAGCCTGCACGTGCCATGACCGGTTGCCCACGTTTTGCATCTGAGATGCAAGATGCATCGGTTCTTACATGCGTCGACTTCCTTGCCGTCTTCACTCACGCTGTAGGGGACGCGGGTCTCGTAGCCGCGGATGCTGCAGTCGGGATCTTCACATCTGGTGTCGGTGGCGAATTTGCCCCAGATATTGACCGCGGCGACGAGGGGAGAGGTGGTGGCTAGAGAGAGGAGGACGGAGGAGGGCTTCATGGTGGTGGTTGGAGGTGGGGAGTGTTTGTGAAGTAAAAGATGGGACTTCGAGGTCCAACTTATACTTTGAGGGCGACCTAGATGATTGTCTGACAGCTAGGCTGCGGGGAGGGCTGAGGTAATTGTGCCGAGCGTGCAAACCGTGGGTGCGTGTACTAATGGTTTTTTTTGAAGGGGCGCTTCGGAACCTATGAAGTGAAGCGATGATGTAAGACAAGACTCCCTATCGAATACATCATCCGTTCAAAAACTGGTTCAAACCTCGTCTTCTCATTACCAGGATCCCTTACCCCTCAAACGCAATCTACCTACTCCCCATCGGCCGCACTACCGGAAATCTCGCATCGCTCGTTCCCAGGCTTTGCACCCCACTAACCAAACACAACGGCGTAACCACTCCATCAGCACTGAAGAAAGAAATTCGGCGGTGAATGTGATCGTCCCTCAGTCAGCCACGAGTACAATCCGACTTGTCATACTCTCTGCATTCTAGAATGGCCCCGGTGCGGGAGTCGCCTCTCGGATGCATATTGTAGCCATCTATCCTGACAGCTTCAATCGTTTTCCCGTAGTCAACAAGTCCCTTTCCAGCCATGGAGCTAATCTCACCTACCCAATCATAACTCAAGTCCGGAGAAGGCCTAGGTTCGGGTCAACTCACAAACTTGAACACTCACACTTCCGTCATATGTGTAATGGACCACCACCATCACTATCCTAAAGTCCCAGGGCAACCAGGTTAAATGCTCAATGATCTATTTCAGCTCAACCACCTATAAGAGGAGAAGATATCGACATCGCAAAGGCTGACTGCTGGATGCCAATTTCACTAATATACAAGCCAGGGAAAAGCCAAAGGCAAAGAAAAAAAAAGGTCGCTGCGGTCAAGAAAGCCCAGAGCCGAATATACGAGACATGTATCGTACAAGAACGCTATATCCAAATGCCGGATCGATATGCCCCTAATCGTCCGTACCCTGACCGAATGATATCCATGACCCGGTGGCCGTGGTGCGATGTATCCATAGTAAGTCAATCCCGTATCAATAAAAGCAAACCCGCAGGTGTCTAGTTCTCAATGACACTCAACAGGGAATCAAACACATCGTCTTCATCGTCGTCGTATTCGTGCTGTCGCTGAGCATTCGAAACGCCGTCATCTTCAGAATGTCCATCGCTGTCATCTCCCCCATCGCTACCAAGACCACTGTCATCGCCCGAGAAGCTGACACCTTCTTGCGCACCAACCCCAGCATCAGACACTGAGCTCGAGGCGCTATCCCCGTCTGTGACTCCACGCCAACTCTGCTCGCCGTCGTCGTCATAGTACGCTTCATTGTCGTCATCAGGCTCGGTATCGCCGCCGTTATTATAGGCGCTGAAGCCGGTGCTTCCGATGAACGGCCCCGAGTGCGGCGTTGCGTAGGCAAAGGGCGTTGTCCTGCCTACCACGGCGACGGAGCGCTGACTTGGCCTGGTGACGTCCGAGTTCGATCGTGGCAATGCAGGCTGCGATGAGTAGAACGGCGAGGGCGGTTCCCGAGAGTGCCGGGGGGTCGCATTCCATGTCGGAACCTCTCCTTCTCCCGGAACGGTTTCATCGGGTCGAGGGGATGAGGAATGCGTGACGCGGCGTCTCTTGAGCCTTGCTATTGCGATGCCAGGTGCGCGCGACGTAGGCTGCGGTGCTGATGACTGCTTGACTGGAGAGGAGTTGAAGCGGCGCTTGGACGATCCAGGTGGAAGTGTTTCGACAATAGAGGCGGAGACTGTTCGGGCTCGAAAGTAGTCGGTACGCTGTGGATGATTTTCGCTCAATGGCGAGATGGGCTGCGGCTGCTTATTCTTCAGAATGGAGCTCGGAGTGATGGATCGTCGCCATTGTCGATCGGCCGGCCGCATTGATAGTTGAACGGAGGCGTTGCTGCCAAACGACGAATGGACGCTAGCAGGAGGTGCATCGTATGCTTCAACAAACTCCCAGCAAGCTTCCTTCGCATCTGCGTCGGGAATTTGTGGTTGGCAGTGTTCATCGTTGCCTTCCATCTGCGAGTCCTGATCCGGTTGGAAGCGAGGTATCTGTCGCAGCTCTGGCCAGGTTTGTTCCATGACAACAAACTCGTTCCGATCGACTTGCTGCGTATAGGCTTCGCGATGCGTCACATATAACCTCTTCTTTCCACCCGACACCCGCATCATGACACCAGCCGCAAGGAACTGAGCGGACCAGAGCGCAGAACTGGACATCTCAGGGGGTGTCAGAAAACGTAGTCTTGACTCTTTCAAGACCTTCCGTAACGGGATGTAAGAGGCTCGAAGGCCAGGATACGCAGCCACCATCGGATTGTCCTCGCTGTCGTCGTATTGTAAATAGTCAAATACGTCACGGAAAGCATGGGTCAAGGTGGCCTGGATATCTCTGGCACTGGCACCCCTAAATGTGACATTTCGGACGAATCCTCTGCTTTGAAGCCGCTTGTAGACCAGGCTGTTGCTTCCACATGCTTTCGCGACTAGCCAGTCATCGGTAGGTCCAGAAGGCCAGTTACTAATGTCTTGACTACTCCACCCACTTTCGGTAGGGTTTAGTATCGAGCCTTGGGACGACAATCGAGCAAGTGGGTAGGGACTCGAGTCTGTATCTCGTCCAGCACCCGGTGGGAGTAGCACGCTTTGGCCGGGCCTGGAACTCCTTGCTTGCGTCCACTCTTCGGAATTTTGAGTCGTGGTCTCGGATGTGCTGTGCATGGGTTCGTCGGGGGAGAACCAAATACCCCGTAGGTCGCGACCCCAAGGTAAGAGAACGACTTCAACTTCCCAGGGGTACAGCGAGGTAGGTAGAGCGGCAGCTTCAAGCAATTCCAGTCGATCTTTGATGTCGTCAAGTTCCATCTTCGTGTCTTTGCGATCCATGGCAGCGAGAATGAGCGCCGAAGAGGTTGTGGACTCTGCAGAATGGTTGGAACCAAAAGACGTCGTAGCATTATCGATACGTCTTTGACTAAACGAGCTAATGCTGTCGTGGTCGTTGATGGCCTCATGCATCCTGTCGTGTTCGTCTAGCCGGTGCTCTACCTCAATGAGCCTGCCCTCGTACATGTCCAGGGTGTGGTTCAGGTCTTCGGGCTGCACATAGTTGAAGGATCCGTTCTCCAGCATGTCTAGGCGATTACCAAGATCCCTCATAGTGTTGGCGACGTTCGGCATCGAGTTTAGGAGGTTGTGTAGCGGGTTGAGATAGGAAACTAGCTTTTGGAGACCTTGCGGGGAAGCCGTCTGGAGAAGGGCTTGAATCTGCTCTTGCGGTGCTGAGGGAGAGTTCGTCAGCAATAGCTGTGTGGGGACTGTCGCGGGGCTTGGCTTGCTCGGTGAGCCGTGCGATTGCTGCTGCATGTTCGAAGTCAGCCTCGCAAGCGTATCGATCAAGGTCTTCCCTTCTTGTACAGCTTGATCGGCGAGGCCGAGATCGGGTGTGTCCGTGACGCTTGGAGTGGCGACTTCTGTAGAGCTATGTATGTAGTCATCGGGGTTGTACGTGTTTGGTATGGTATCCCCGGGTATGTCGAGCTGGAGGTTGCGATTGAACTCGAAGATGTCGTTCAGTGTCGCGATGCCGGTATCGTCTGGTACGGTCGACGTGGGAGACTGTGGGCGATTAATCTGGCCCACATTCTCCAGAGGCATCATTGAGAGACCGAGCCCGGCAGCAGTCTGACGAAACTGGTTCACGTCATGCCTGGCCTCGCTGTTAGCTGCTGGACGCTGGCTGTAACTAAGCCTGCACACTGAAGGGATTTCAGGAAG